CAAAATGTCAAGATGCATGAAAACATTCACTGTAAAACAACCCAAAGTCACAGCTCCATCATTCCAAGGTATTTAAGCCACTCTTCACCGCACAACAAAACACGAAGGGTGGTAGACTAATAATAATAATAATAAAGCTTAGCAGCTATGAAGGAAGACAGAAAAACAAGTGTGGAAGGAAGGATCCCCCTGAAGACCAGTAAGGGCTGTCACCCCGATGGACAGAGTGACCTGGAAGCCCCAGCAGGACCTTTGGAGTCAATGACTTGGGATTCAAAGATCTTTCTAACTGTATAACCTCAAGCCCTAACTTCTCCTAGTACTTCCTGTCATAAATACTTATGTATAGCTCAATAGACATACACTGGCTATCAAAGAAGTTTTTCTCTTTTCTAAAGTTGTATGCCAACCGTCATCCTTTTGTATACAAATAACTTGATTGGATGCTTTTATGCAGCAGGCACTGTGTTAGGTGCAGGGGATACTCTGGTGAAGGAGGTAGGAGCCAACAATGTGATAGAGAAGCAGAGCGGAGAGGCTTCCTTTGCTGCAATACGTGTCCAGGAGGCATTAGCAGAGGTGCACAGACAAGCTACCTAACCCCATCATAGGGACGCTGAGATTTCCCAGGGCATTTGTATCTGAACTGAAGACTGAGACAAAGAATTTATTTATTCAGTCATTCAATCAATTGACAGTTATTGAGTTTTTACTATGGGTCAGATACTGTGAACGAATTTGAGATCAAAAGAAAATACACAAAAAAATATGGATTGTAACAGTGAGGTTGAGAAACGCTTTGATAAACGAACTGCAAGGCGGGGGGGGAGGCTTGTGTTCCTTAGATGATGAAGGGGGTTTTTATGAGAGGACTGGTCTGAGGCCTGGGGCTAAGAAGATGCCAGTCATTTAAGAGTAGGAATAAGAACTAGTGTTTGCATGCTGGTGCTTCCCCCCTCCTTTCTTCCTCTACTTTGTTTTCTGATTAATTTTCCAAGCCTTTATATAGAGCATTTACTGCTTGCTGTCATTCAAATCCTTTCTTCCCAGTTTTTCCCCCAACTCAGCAGGGGTGAGATTAGATTATATATCTGAAGCTGTAACAGGTTCACAATCTTTTTTTTTTTTAAAGATTTATTGATTTATGCATACAGAACTGGGGTACAGGCCAGAGGTGCAGGGGTGGTAAGAGGCTTCACCGGACAGAGTGGGGAGCAGAACAGGCAGATCGATGAAGTACACTGCTGAAGGGAGTAGCGGGTGGATCAGGAGAGGTCTGATGAGGTGACCATGTGGGTCACCTCCGGGGCTGGGGATTGAACTCACACTGAAGCATCTGCTGCTAGCCTGCAGTGCTGCATCCTAACCCATTGCATCACTAGGGAGGGCCCACAGTTTGGCAGTCTTTTTAAGGAAAAAGATGCAAAAGATAGTTTTAAAGAAGCAACAAAATGCTGATGACTATGTGAACACATTGCTGGAGCACCTTAGAATTCTCAGAAAGAACCTAAAGCTTACCCAACAGTCAGTTTCATGGAAATTCACCTCAGCTTTTGTGGAAATTTTACCTGCATGGCTATACGGACTGAAAGATACGTGGAATTGATAAGAAGCAAATATGACTCTTGCAAAATAGAAATGCAGGCAGGATGTGTAGAGACAGTGGGATAGAAAAGGAAAGGTCTTTGGGGCAGGAGACTGGGTCACTGGGAAATTACATAAGACTTTTCTAATCATCAGTTACTCATCTTAAAACTGAGGGATTGGCCTCAATTAAAACAAGAATAAAGTTGACATTCTTGTGTGTCACTAA